TTTATCTTGAGAGGTATATGTAGGATAATAATATTTGAATAATATACAGTAATTGATAATTAATATAATTAGCAATTTTATAAAACATCGAACAAGAAACGAATTTGGAAGAAGATCGCGAAAGTAACGGGAGTCTACGAAATCTCAGTGAGATTAAAGTGTTATGTGTGAGGTAATACGTTTATTATTATCGAGTACTGAAGGTGCCTGTTTTGTTAAATAATAATGTTATAGATACAAAGTGAAATCGATCAGTGAAGAAACATAGAATTCAATTTCAAACTGACTACCTATGTATTTTAATCAAATTATAAATAGAATTTTTATATGAAATTTTAACGACATACCTTTGGAACAAGGTTTTCTTAAAACCTAATTTGTCCATTGCACTTAATCTTCCTGAGTGAAAAAAAAATTAAAAGAATAATAAAAAATAATTTTCCTGCGAATAAAAAACAATTAGTTATTCTTGTTGGCGTTGAGTGTAACGTCCAACGGTTCGTCAATATTTTGCGAAGGACTGAGTTCTTGTTGAGGCAGTTGATGGAATAAAGTAACAATCGGTGTGTGCCGGGGTGGACCCTTCACAGTGAGATCCATCTCAGCCTCCTGAGGCCTATCTCTTACAGTTAAATTAGTATTTCTTTCTACTGGACTACCGCATATTCTTGGTGGAGAACCACAACCACATTTCATTCTCTCCGGAGACTTTTCACAGGATAATGAATATCTGAAACATAGCATTCAATTTTTCCGTAAGAATAAAAGTTTTCAAGCAGAAATATGAAGTTTTATAAATCGATTCATTTCGTCGATTGATCAAATATTTCTTTTTCGGTTCGATCTTTACGATTTGCAAACATCGAAATTTTGAAAGCTAACAGTATACAGTGTGGCCCAAAACAGATGGTACAACAGGGTAGGAGGTGATTCTAAGATGCAAAGGTAAATCGAAAATATAAAATAAAATTGTTTCGTATATTGCTTCGTTTTCAAGATAGTCGAATTTGAAAATTTTCTGATACGTGTACACCTATGTCTCGACTTATGTTTGTACTAATAAACGATGTCAATGTCATGATTAGTATTGATAATACATTTATTAACGATTTTTATAATTTAAATTTACGTTACTGAACAAATCGTTAAAAGTGACGTCCGCCTTAATGCATAAAAATTCTTGTTGTTTGAATTAATATCGTGAACTAATGATACGGTATTTTGATGCTTTAGGCTGTCGTTCATTTAACAACACGGCACATTATTGTATGTAGTTCAAATGTGGATGCGTCCATCTATCCATAACCAGTATAGCATCGATACCCCACCACGTCGCGTCGGCAGCTGCGAAAATCTTAACAAGAATGTTTTGCCGGTTAGGTGACTATCGCATACCGATCGCGTGCATTTTATATGGTGGCAATGAGACTGTCAGTTGTTTGTAACGTGCCGCACATACGGAAATATTGATGAAATTATTGTTCGTCGTTTAATAATTGTCTAATGTGTGGAATTCACCCTCAGTTTTTCTTAATTGTAAACTATGTATCCAATATCTTCTTTTTTTTCTTCTATTATTTTCATCTTCATCAAGCAGTAATGCTATTAAAGCTAATTCTTCAATACTAAACTCTGCTATACTGAATATCATATTGATGTCGATAGGTTAAGTGTGCGGCAATCTGTATCAACACGGAAACAACTGACCGCCGCGGCGCGCCGGTAATCTAATGCTGTGCTGTCAAGTGGGCGACAACCTTTTAATGGTCTGAAAGGTTCTACGATTTTTTCGCTCAGCTGTAGAAGATTGACACTACTTTCTGCGTAGATTATTTCTCTACGAAATGTAACATTACTGCTGTTTATCAACATAAAAATACGAACGGAAGCAATACTTTGTAGAGAATCTTTGAATTCAATTTTCTCGAAAGCTAAGCCTTTTATGAACAAATTTTATTCGATATTTTCGGTTTACTTTTCTGTATAGAATCACCTCTTGCCCGATTGTGCCACCGTTCTGGACTACCCTGTATACAGTTTTACTGTTTGTATGTGGAGCGTGTTACGCAACTGGTGCAAATTATCTTTTGTTTGCTTGTAATTAGAAAAACGTAATAAAGAAACAGTTTCAATGGTACAAAGAGATCTAATTTCCTCTGACCCGTATTTTCTCTACAAGGATTTACGTTTCCAAATTAAAGTTAATAGGTTAGGTTAGATGTATACTGCTTTCTTAAAATTGGAAAGAAATGTGATAAAATTCTATTTAAATGTTTCAACATGAGAAATATACCGAGAATATAACATAAGCCAAACTGTTGGTAGATGGATTTATAATTATTTACATAAATTTCTTGCATATCGTATTTCTAATGGGGATATACCTATTGGGTTGCTGCAAATGAAATATCGTTTTTCAAACAGTTGAAATTGGCATGTCAATACCATATATTAAATTTTACTGTATTCAGTAGCAAAAAAAATTCACAATACATGATGAATAATCGCGTTAATAATAGTAATTAATAATCGCGAATAATAATGAAAAATCTGTAATAAAAACTGCTAAAAATATAAATTTAGCATTTGAAGAAGGTTACGTAAATATTAAGATATTTGAACAATAACAAAATTTACATTAAACTTACATACTTATTTAAAGAACAATAAATAATCCTCAAATTAAACAACAAAAAATAATCCTCTGATCAAAAGTAAACTATAATTCTCACAATACATTCGTCCCATTCGTAAACTTTTGTTGTGTCCCTTTCATAAATATAACAACAAAATTGAAAATCTAACCAACAATTACTAAATAGAATATTAAACGAAAGGTACCGGACATTTTATGTTACCGTTCTTGAATAAATATCTGTTCAAATGTAGCAATAAAGAAATGTAATCGGTGATAACAGTACTTCGCAAAACGTTTCGAAAAACTATCAAAAATTGGCGAATATTGCCACAAAATAAAAAGACTATCGCCGTGGGCAGATTGTTCATTTTTTAAGATATTTTCAATGTCCCTTTCATCCGACCTCTCCCCTGTATCTCTTCCACTAAGCATACCAACATATTTAAAGAGAGAGAAAAAAAAAAAGGAACATTGAAAAGTACGTTTTACGAAGATCACCCATGCATGAATCGTAGAAGTAATATAATTAATATAGTTAATGTGGTTACCCGTGGGGAGGTGGAAGAATCCTATAATCTCTGCAAACGGATAGAGTCGGAGTGTCGGGTATTTTGTCAGAGTTGGATAGGGGTGGTCCGTTTGTGGTAGCGTGGAGGCCTCAAAAGGAGGGGTGCCGCGCTTCCTAATCCTAAGCATCGCATTCTCCATGCGTCTTGTAACAATTGTAATCGGGCCTGTTTTCGCCACTTTGCTCGCCGATTTTGAAACCAAACCTAAAACGACAAGCAACCTATGTTACTTCTTTCTGAAATAAAATTTCGCAATTTACCAACAGACAATAAATAACGTTCATTCGTTTGCAGTAACAGAAGTACTACAGATATTCGATAACAGCCTGTATGATAAGTTTTATAAGATATGCGACTTGTAACTTTTGTATATTAGATCATCCAATAAGTTCGCGTCGAATTTTGCAATTTAGATTAATATTTCCAACGAACTTTTAAATTTGATAAAAAAAAAAAATTCAAGTGTCTTCTCATTCGACAATTATTTTCTATTTTTCTTTTTTTAGTAAGACCATTATGTCGTCGTTAGAGTATTTCCTTGGATTTTCATTCAAATATTTTTCGCTTACGGAACGAACTTATGGGATGACCTAATACTTTCTTACGGTTTATGAAAGAGGAATGTGATGAAAGTAATAATTAAATGGTTTAATAGTACTTAATCATTTACTGTTAATTTTTTGTTAATTATTATAGTATCTTCGTGTAAAATTTCATACCATTTTAAATAACTCGACTTTTCAGATTATTTTACGTACAAAAACGTTAAGGTAGGATCATTCAAAGACGAATACTTTATACATAGGATATTTTACGTTGTTTAATTAAGTATGTGCACGGTTTATAGAAAAATTGACCAAGTTTTTCATCGCTTATCAATTATGTTCTCGTTAATTTGTTCGAATCTTCTCCACAAAATAAATGAATATCGGTGCACTCTGTTTTTCAAACGACACTATAGAAAGGATCAGGCTTAGATTCTGTAGTTAAAATATAAGGAACGTTAAACAGCTTATTCTTGATTTCTCTTGTTAAACACTACACCAAGCGCAAATGATAACTCCTTTATAATGAAATTTTTGAAAGCATTGTGTTGTAGAATATTAACTAATTCTTTTCTGTAATTGTTATGTTATTATCGTACAGTAATTTTTTAATTTATAGCCATAAATATAGATTATTTAAAGCAACGTTTCATTCAGCAGTTGTTAAGCAATAAAATAAAACTTCTGTAAATTCTGTTCAAATAGTCTAGAGATGTAAATAAAAATTTCTGTAGATAAAAATTTCTTTCTTTCACTTTCTATCTGGGAATAGAAGAATTTTCGGACCTATGTACATATGACCTTTTTTCATCCTTAGGAACAGTAGAATACGGTACCAAAGTTTGGCCACCTATTCTCTTGTCACCTCGATCATAAATATTATAAGAAGTTTTCAATTTCCACGCAGACTTAGGCACGTTTAAATATAATATAAACAACTTCTAACTAGTTATTTTCTATGGGATTAGTAAACTTTGGGTAGAAGGTATTACACCAATTTTCTAACGTAACTTGATAATGAAAAAAAAAAGGACAAGAAAATAGCTTAACAAAGTTAAAGTATTTATGTTTATTAACCTGGACACGAGCTTCTGAGAGTGAAATTCTAAGAGCGACTTCTTCTCTCAGGTAAACGTCCGGATAGTGCGTCTTCTGGAAGAGGGATTCTAGTTCTTGAAGCTGTTGCGGAGTGAAAGTCGTCCGATTGCGTCTCTGCTCAGGCATGATTAATTATAATTAATTACCATTCATAAACATTCACTACTGTTTTTTTAGTTATTTTAAATTATAATACTTCGATAAATGCAGGCTTATCACGTACACGCGTGACGAGTTGAAAAGCAACGAAAACTACTCTTTTTTAACGAAATTAGTTTAAATAAATACTAATGTGTACTAATTTCTGTAATGTGTTCATTTCTCTGACACGAGATTCATTTTTATAACGATGTTACATTTTAACATACGCTCGTTCATTTTCCGATAACTTGTGAGAAAAGTAACGGTTACGGTAGATTTTTGAAATTTTTATACCGTTTCTGTACTTTCTTGCACTATTATTCATCTCAGTTCATTTCACCAGTGAATAAAAACTACGCTTGTTCATTCAACGAATTTTATATTTCTGATAAAGATTGGGAATCACATATTGAAGACGTTAAATTTTTAATGATTTCTATTTACACACCAGGTATATGTGCAGTGTATCAACTAAGGTACTACAAGATGTTAGCACTAAATTATTAAAAATGGTAGCAACAGTTTCTTTGATTTGTTACTGTTCACTGTGCTGTTCCATATTACTCGTTATTTGATTTATGTATAGGGGGAGTTCCCCTAGCACCGGACGATTAAGGTTTTTCTTAAATAAATCTCTCTACCTGTGCACACGCGACTGAAACGCGTAGAAAACTTATTTCTATTCCTTTTGTCGCCTCTAGGAGATACGCAGAATACAGCCGATATTAGGTGCCGTCCGGCGTTAAGGGAACACCCCCTAAACGTTTGCATTTCCTGTAAAAAATGTATCTAACGCGCTTCCTTTTCTACTGTATAATTATGCTGCTGATTATGAAAGTGGTCTAGGTCAAAAATCGAAAAAAAATTGAATTTATCACATACTTTGCGTTGCGTCGATCTTTTCATCCAAAGGAGTTATATTGCAAGAGCAAGTATTTTGTGAAATATTTTACTATGTAATGAAAGAATATTTTTTAATACACCCAAAGGGAACATTCTAAATATCTCGAAACGAGGAATGTACGACTTAGGCCACTTTCGTAACCACCGGCACAATTATGAAGATGCAAAGAAAAATAATTTAGAAGGGGGATTTAAAGTTGAAGAAAAAAAATATTAAATTGGACGTTTTGTAAGTTTAAAGTTGCTTTGTTAATTGCTCCAAATTTTCTCTATTTATACCTAAATTAATATCTCTAGTATCGCAACGAAGAGTCGCCAACGTTCCATAAAAAGTATTACACGATTTACGAATTTCACTCGTGTCTTCTATTGCTGTTTCATGAAAGATTACGGGCAGTTGAATTGATCATGTGACAGTAGTTAGGCCATTTCACATCGATGTCTTTATGTATTATTTTGCGGAAAATAAAAAAAAATATTGTAGATAACTGTTGTTAAAGTTATGGCGAGTTGAAAACCGTGCAAATATCTACGTATTATTCCATTAAAAGAAAAAAGTGGAGGTGTTCTTTCTCCTTGATGATCTAGTAGCGGAATCTTGTTAGTGATATGAAAGAACTTAACAGAAATAGTATGAAGTTAAAAATATTTGTCGTCATTTTTAGTAGTTTTAGAGATGACAGTTTGCAGCACTTTTTACATTATCTTTAGAATCATTACTCTTGGTAAGTAAACTACAAATTACTATTTTTTAAGTATTTCTACGAACTTTCCTCTAGTTTTTTTTTTTTAAGAACTGTTTAGTTTATAGACTTTAAGGAAATATGTAATTTATTTACTTTGCGATTATCATGTCTAATTTTTCAGATAATTTTGTTTCAAAAGAGTTAAAAACGGTCATTGTAGCAAAACATTTTAATTACTTTTGGTAAAATACTCATTTGTGCTACCATTAATGCCTTTTCTAATTGCTATATGTTGAGAGTATGTTTTGCACTCAAGTAAGTAGGTATGCCTGGTTTCACGGCGCAGGAAGTCACCGCGAATAAAAGAAGTTTAACAATTTTCATCGAATATTCCTTTTAGAAAGTGTCATACTACTATTATATACTATATGTACTACTTTTATTGCTATTATAGTAAACAGAAAATACGAAATTACGGATTTATTCATCTCACTTTACGCGATCACCGAAAACATTTCCATTATTTCTCATAATGCGTGAGAATTACTGAGCAAAAAAGGGGGTTAACAAGAAGTGAAGACTTTACAGCGAAAGATATTACGATTGAAAAATTATTTATTTGAGAATCATCATTTCTTAAATATCAGGATCACAATTTCTTGAAATGGTGCGCCTTGTATTTTGAATTCACCACGTTGTAACAAACTTCATGGCTGGTTATTAGTTGTAGTTTAAATGAAAGAACAGCGTGTACGAAATGAAGTTATTATTTTATTAAAATAGCAGGTTCTAATTAGTAAATATGTTTTTTTCTAAACTTTCTTTATTTACAACGCTTTAGATCAGAGCTGGTCCATAAGCTACTCTCGTAGACTAAACTAATTTAGCGATAAACGATGAAATTATTACTCTGTCAGAATAGCAAATTCCAGTTTGCAAATATTTTCTTTTTATAAAGCTTTAAATCAGAGCTGGTCCATAAGCTGCTACTGTAAACTATTCCAAGTTACTCATTTAGTGATAAACGACAAATAAAATCTGCAGATATCGATCTTATCCTTTAGAATAAACCTTTACTGTGAAATATAGAATAACCGCCAACTATGGTCTCTAAAAACTAATACTCGAGATATCGATGCGACCTTATATTTAAAAAAAACAAAAAACAAATATGCAGATGTATTTTTGAACAAGTAATTACTTGATTATGTCGTACAGTCGTACAAAAAATGTATAAACTACTTATCGACAAATTATGAAACATTTTTATCGTATCACCATCATATTGTTGTTTAAACGAATTTTTATGTTATCTAAAGAGTATGTAGACGCACTGAGGGAAATATTATCGATTCGTTCCAATGTGTTACAAAAATAATTTCGTTAAATGTTAAACGTAATCCACCTCTGTTTTTAAACATTTTCATAAACATTTGTTAGATCTTTAAACATTATCTAGAACATACGATGGAACCGTAGAAGTTACTTGTTGCTAGACAGATAGTTTTTACAGATTCGTTTTCATAATTTTACATTCCATTTCATTTAGAACATGCTTCTTCGGAAAGATTCTGTTTAAGAAGAGTTTAATATAAATTTTACTAATTATTTCAATACTCCCTCGAGTGTAAAGATATACCTATATTATTCCATTACAATTCGCCTGCTCACGGCTACGTAGGAATGATTAATAACGGTGTAAATCATGCTTCCAGTAAATTGTCACGCTATCTTCTACAGTGACAAACAATAATTTGCAACAACTATGACGGTAATAAACGACGATTTAAAATATTTTTATATATACGAAAAAGTTTCATTGTTGCAAAGAAGCATTAAGTCTAGCTTGTAAACATCGGTGCAGATCCTTGAAAGAATTAATATATGACAAATCTGTACTTTAGAATGTAACATTGATAAGATAAACTCACAATGATAATAAGGTAATAATTTCTTCGAGAATAGTGTAAAAGAGCTACATCTTTTTCTCCACCGATCAATTCTCTTGCGTGTAAGTTACGGATCACAAAATTTCCGTCCTTTTCATCGACACCTTTCTTATCACTTTTCGCGTCACTTTTCGGTCATTCGTTCTCGAACGAATAAGAACAGTCTTCATTCACAGTGATTCGTGTAAATCACATAGCAAACTTGTCATCGATTTACATTCGATTGGTATTCCGATTATCAGGTATACAATTAAAACAGTTAATTTGAAATTCTCATTGTGCTACCACTTGCGTATGTAACATTTACGAGGAAATTGATTCAAGCTATTCCTATTGATTTTCAATTGTTTAAAGGTAAAAGAAACAAGAGACAGCCAATTGAGAAACGAGGCAAAAGGAACAGGTGTATTCTATGTGCGTGTTGAGAATGAAACTTGACTTTCCATGCGGTAAGCGAATTTCGATTGTTTTGCAACGATACGAAACAGAGAATGTACGAAAGCAATAAGGAAGAAAGTAAAAAGAAGCAAAAAAGAAACGTACACTGACCTGACGACGTCTTCCAAACATGTATTCGGTGAGCAAGTCAGCCTGAGGGCCCAATGGTGACAGATACGGCCCTGCCATCTCTTCGAAATCAGTTGTTCGGCAAAACTAGCAAGGATATGGTTTTGCGTTTCTTCCGTTTTCTTTTTCCTTTTTTTTTGTTTTCCTAGATTCTCACTGCGAGAGAGTCGCTTTATCGTTCTCGATAGACGACACCGAGGAAACTGAAGTCTCCTTTCGAGAGTTCACCCTCGATCAAGCTTCGAGTTACGTGCATAACGGGGGTTGGTTTATATCACCGGATTGGTCCATCCCTTTTGGGGGCGGTGCCACTTCTATGGAGATAAGTACACACCCCTCTTGTGGAAAATTCACTAAATCGTACCGCGCAGAATGTTTCCTCGAAAGAAGGACAATATCTGATTTTCGGTTTTTCAAGATATATCTTACTTTTTTGAATTCGCGTTCCCGGAACTTCTACTCGTTTAATTTAGTTTGTTGCTCTATTTCGCGCATTGTGCGTTCACTTCCAGTCGCTTTTCGGGAACACCGTGTGTATTTAATAAATCACCTTTACGTTTGTTTAAGAACATTTTTTTTTTTTTTTTACTTACAGTTAGAATCGAGCCTGTAATAAGAAATTATGCAACGTGGCTGTGTGTTGAGTAACAGGATAGAGTGTTTCTTGGAAGAAAATTAGAGAAAAAATGTGCGCTTAAAGTAATTTGTTTGCAAAAATGTTACCTCGATTAACGTTAATCTGGCTCAGACGATGTAGGGTATCGCTGAAAGGGAATATATTTCCCTTAGTAGTTTGAGTAATTTCACGCATACAATTATAATATACATGTGTATGTGTATTTGGGTGAAATTTGATATATGGTAGAACCGGTGAAACATGATTAATAGTGGATTATGTTCAACCGTTATGATAAGGTCATTTATACGGTATAATTAGAAATGATTTTAATAGCTAAAGCCAAATTCAAATTTACACTATTCATAGAAACTTACGAGTTTGCAAAACATCGTGTAGGCGTGCAAAACATCCATAATAAACGTAAATTAATCGAAAATATCGATTATGTCATGCTACTATAAAATTATTATGAAAACCGATTGATATGAAACATTCTACGTATTAAATTTGTTTAAAAATTTGAAGAATCATTAGTATCCTACTTTCAGTAGAAAGTTTGAAGAACCGGAAATTGGAAACAGGAAGTTAAACATATCGTTTAATGTTTCATTTCTAATACTTGGTGAACGAATCGAATGCAGACAGTATCGAAATGCTTAATTTAACTGAAACTGATTAAATGTCATTTTCAAGTGTATTACACGTGACAATTAAATATCTTCGACGACATTATTATGACAAGAAACGTTGAAGAAATGTAGAATACTGTACGAATAACAAAGCAAGAATCTGTTCTTTCGGTATTTATCTATTCTAACTATTAAAAAACTACATGGAAGTGTCTCGGAACGAGGATACTACGAATTAATTTTTCCCAACTTTAAGAAGTCATTCTCTTCATTTCCCGCATGTTTCCTCCCTTCTACGCGCAACCCTGGTTCAATAAAATAATTTCAAAATACCGATCTAAAATGAAACAAATGAAAAAAGGGGGCAGGAATGGAGAAGACGAAAATAACGAAGACTGAAGTGATGCGGTGTGCGTGAATAAGAAAGAGGAGAAGAAAACGAAGAAAGAAGCGAAGAAGCCTAAATAGATGATGACGAAGAAGCAGAAGAAAATCCACACAGAAGTGTCTCTAACTGAGAATATTCCAAATTAATTTTTCCCAATTCTAAGAAGTTATTCTCTTCATTTCCCGCGTGTTTCTTCCCTTCTGCGCGCAACCCCGGCACAATAAAATAATTTCAAAGTACCGATCTAAAATGAGACAAATGAGAAAAGGGGACAGGAATGGAGGAAACAAAAGAAGAGAAAACAAAAATAACGAAGAGTGAAGTGATCGCGGTGTGCGTGTAAGGGGTAAAATAAGAAAGAGAAGAAGACAATGGAGAAAGAAGAGAAGGAGCGTAAGTAGATGACGATGACGATGAAGAAGGAGAAGAAGAAGAAGAAGAAGAAGGAGAAGAAGAAAAAGAAGAAGATGAAGAAGGAGTAAGGAGATGCGCAAGTATGAGTGCTAGAAGTCGTGGCGTAAGCCAGAAAGTGATGCTCGGTATTCGTGTAGCGCATCAGACAGGCACATACCCCGAAGCCATGTAATTCATTACTAAAGCAATCTCACCCTGCCCTATCTCTGCCCCTCTCCTGAACCCTATCCAGCCCTGCACACCCTCTCCTGGCTTCGGCGGTGCGCGCGCGTTATAATATAAAAAAAAGGAAGAACCAGCCGGATGAGGAAGGAGAAGGGCCCGAATAGAATAGCGCCCCTGACGACAAAACAAAATGAAACACAAAGCCGTGTTTTCATAATTAAAAAGATTGCATGCACTGAGTACAGTTCTCTCTTGCTCTCGCTTTTTCTCTCGTTGGCGTTCTATGCTTGCCTCCTGTACGGAGCCTTTCTGTTCGCTACGCTGTATTTCTCTTTTTCCCTTTCCATCTGATTTTCTCTGTGATTGTCCGCCGAGCCTTTCTTCCTGGACAACGCTCTCTCTCTCTCTTTCTCTCTCTCTCTCTTACCCTAGCTCTTCTCTTTACGTTCTCGCCATTTTAATGATTCAAATAGTAGCGAAATGTTTTTACATTAAATTCATCATAATTATGACTTATTAGAGAATTTTCATCGGCTCCAAGAACGATCGTTCGAGGAGTTTCTACGCTGACAATTGCGAGATATGAAAGATTGTGTTAACAAGTTGGAGCAATTTTCTTATGTTCGTAGAGGGTAAAAGTGTAGGACGAGATAATAGTTATTACAACGTGGTACCATTAGTTTCATACGTTAGGCGAATCATCTTAATGAAAGATGCACGAAGATAGAAAAAAAACTAGGAGGAAAATGCATTAACAATGTAGGCTACCTATTACCAAAGCTTGTGCATTTATTCTTCCCTCTTTGATCCATTTTTTTTTTTTGTCTTTTCCCTTTTGTAGTTGCGAGAAGCGATACATTTGATGAAAATGTAGCGGTATGTGGATTATGTGTGCCTGCTTTTGATATATCAACTTACCACATCTTTGCTAACCACATTTATGTTAAACTTACGAACGGTCTATGAATCTGTATTGAAATGCATAGTGCATTACTTTTCTATGGTGTAGGTACATATTTAATACGAAGTTTCAAGAATGTAATTGCAAATGAAAATTTTTATCAACATAAGAAGTTAGAAACATATGAGGAATTAGTTATAGAAATTTTTAGATGTAACTTTAAAAAGTACATGTTAGTTTATATTTTTAACATAGAACAATAGCACGTTACATCTTATCTGCAGAATTGTTCTCAAACGTACGTTTATTTGGCTTAAGCACAATCTTAGCATTGAAAATAGGCTTGCTAGAAGAAAGAATTTGGGAAAATTAATTCATAACTGTCAGCATCATTATTCTCAGTTGAATTTTACTCTTTGAACACTGAATATTTAACGTGATACATTCCACAGAAAGCTGTACCCCAAATAGTAGATTTTATCAATTGTTACACATAATTATTTTCCTAATCATTTTTATCTGTTTAAAATATTTCCCAAAATGAAATCCATGAAGATTTCGAAAAGAGGCTCAAATGAACGATACAAACTGTGTAATATAAAAGTATGATCTTCTACAATTTTTTTAATGTTTGATATAATGTAGAAACAATAAAGATGCGTGAAATACTGTGTTAATTATTCAAATTTTTGCGAATATGTTAAATAAAAATAAGTATTATTATATTCTAATTTTCCATTTCTACTATGAGTCTCTCACTTTCACAATACGATCTTTTTGCGATAATAAATGTTAAGCGATAACGTTAATGTTTTCACTAACTTTTACGACTTTTCTTTCGGACACTGTTAGAAGAAATTTCGCGTAAAGATTCGATCGACCGGAATTAGAAAATTTTGCTATTCGCAGATTGCTCGCTCATTGTGAACATTCACTTGCAAAAAGTTTTCTGTTTTAAATAATCGGCAGCAACAAACAAGTAAGAACGAGATATTTTTAATTAGAAAAAATTGATTAGAAATTACGCAAAAAATTTCGAGTGTTGAAGAAAATAAATTTTAAATTCGGGAATCGAAGGTTACTTTTTTCTCATACTACATGCAGGTATTAAGCATCTATGAATGCGTGTTAATGTTCATCGCAATATGTAAGAGAAAAAGGGGGTGCACATTTGTGTACAAAAAATGTCAGCGGTTTTGAAAACTTGGAAAAAAGTGGTCTCGAAAAAAGTATTTTCCCTGCAGCATGTTCGCTCTTTAAAACCATTCAAATATGTTTGTGGTGTTGTGACAGCCATTTAGCGAGGATAATTGGATGTCCTGGTTTTGGCGGGACACCCTGTATACAGATGTTTAATATGTACTCATATTTAGCGGTTAGAAAATTAGGAATGGGCTGAACAATAAAAAGACACGAATAATGGGGTCATGAAGTTCATTTATTGGATAAAATGTTACCGCCCAGGACCGCCCCTATGGTGCAACCAACTAGCCCTTATTAATTTACCCCTCTTCCCCTCCTCTGTACAAATATTGTGGACAACGGTATAGCCTTTAATCTCTCCCCGCCTTTTCTCGATTGCATAGATATTTTCTTTAGTTCGACATACCTCCAGTGGCCCTAATCATGTGTCAATTTTATTTTACCAGAAACAGTTCTGAATGTTAATAACATTAAAAACAAAGATTAAAAAATAATGTTACTTATTGCACAAGATATTTGAATTTCTCTATTAAATTTTTACTTTAACGTTTCCCTTGTCTTTAGTCAGTTAAATAATATTTCTCGTTTGTTAAATTGAAGATAGTATTCTTTAAAATGCGGAATTTTCAATTCAATTTGAAATAGGTATACCTACTCGAAGTAGGAAGATAATGTGACTTATCTTCGTGGAGGTCGAGTTGCAACTTTCGTGAGTTTTACAATGCATATCTGAGCGTATTA